TAAATAAAAGAACTGCAAATGATTGAAACTTCCATGAACAATAACTTCTCTTTAATCAGGTGCATAGTCAAGATTTTTTGCTCAAAAACTGAAGCACTTCACTGGTAAGCGTATTTTGAGTCGTTCGTTTTATTCTGCCATAAAATAAATCTAACATTTTTCCTGGCTTTCTTTTCTTGTCTTTTTTTTCTTTTTTTTTCTTTTTTCGCTTTGTACCGCCCTCTATTGACGAGTTGTTCCTGGCCCTCGCCATAAATGAAAGAACCGCAAATGGTTGAAACTTCCATGAACAATAACCTCTATTTAAACAGATGCATGGTCAATATTTTTTGCTCAAAAACTGGAGCACTTAAGTGGTAAGCGTATTTTAAGGCGTACGTTTTGTTCTGCCATAAAATAAAAACATAACATTTTTCTTGCTTTCTTGTTTTTCTTGCATATGCAGCTTTTTTTCAGAGAATTATAAACATAAATAAGCAGGTCTGTGGCAATATCTCAAAATCACAACAAAGCCTCCAGGGTTAATTTAGCGAAGTTTCTGCATAATTCTTCGGTCGAGAGATAATTTGTCGGGCACAAGAAATTAATTTTCTTCAAACCGTGCATCTGTTTGAGTGCGTTTTCAATGCTACTTTTTGGTCCTATATTCGTAAGGCTGATCAAATTGTGAAAAAAAAAAATCGAAAAATGCCCATTTTACGCTCATACTCAGCCTTTGACCTGCACGAAATAATTCGCTTTTCTACATATATGTTAAAATAGCAATTGTAGAACTCGGCCTGTGCATGTTTACCACGCACTTCATGATAGTGTAGCATATGTATCAGGCTTAGGAATGATTGTGGTTTCAGTAATATGAACATTTGGGAAGTAGGCCTCTGAAACGAAACAACACAAAAACCAACTTCGTTTCAGCGCATCTCAATGCCGCTATTTCTGGGTGACAGAAGCAGAGGGTATGCAAATCAACAAGGGGCTAAAGCACCGGATTATGCTACCAAATCTACGTGGCATAATGGCTAAGCAATTAATTTAACGCGTAAAAGAATCGCAAACCCCAAAAAGGCCTGGTTCTGATCAAAATAAATCTACTAGGTCTTTATAAATGCTGCAATCTAATCGATTGTTGTACTTCCTATCCATCCGTAACAAATGGCGACTGAGGTGAAAATGTAGACCAACATTGTGCGGTTGTAAACAAAACGAAACAAAAAACAAGAACCTGACTAACTTGCTGCTAAGGTTTGAAAGACTTGAATATCTACACCAAAATATTTAGATGATTTACTTTCCAGATTTCTATATGCGGGATAATTCACTCCAAATAGAAATCCTTAGTTTGAGATCGACATGTTGCATTCCTATTTCCCAATACAGGCTCTAGTAATTGGCTGTTTTGAGCGCTTACCTTGGTGAACGAGGCAGTCTTGAAATAGTTTACATTCTCGTGCTCAGTCTGAACAATACGCTAAAGGAAAACCGCATCAGAAAGCAGAAGTTGTGTACTATAAATAAACCCTTGTTATGGAGTGGAACTTGTATGACATGGTCGCATTGCTAATAAATTGTAGCTCTAAGGTTTATTAAACGTGGCAGTTTTTAATTGGCGTAATGCAATGTGGTAGACATAGTCTGAGAACGAAGTTGAGTTTTGGCATCGAGTGTATTCAGGCATGAACTGCTGGGCCGTGCATAAACGATAACCAAGCTTGTTACAGTTAACGCTTATCTTTCCAGTACACTTTAAAATATTTCTTTCAGGCACAAACCTGATATTTTGAATCGCTTTAATTGATAACGTACTGATTAACCGTGGGAACAGTCAAAATTTATTGGCTGACTGATTTAATTCGATTAATTAATTCAAATATCTTATGTAAACATTTTGTAAGCGATGTGATCGATCAGTAGATTATGTAAAGTGATAAGGTCAGTTATGCCGTTCTCTTATTGGCTGTAAGAGTCAGTCAAAGTCATATTTTAGATCAGATATGTAGATTTACCTATATTTGTGATACAACGTGTGACGTTGGTAAATAAATCTTGAATGTAGCAGCTTTGGAGCAAATTAATAAAAATGAAACGTATCAGTGAGTTTCGCAGCATCATGAAAATAATTCACAGATGTGTCATAATTGTGTGATAGTCAATCAACGTTGTTTTCTTCAGCTGTAAACTGGACGGATTTCTGGAGTCTGAGTTTTACTTTACTCAGTTCAGTGAGATTATTTATTCACAACTCATTGCAACTCGTTTACTTCGGTATACATCATGGATTCTACCTCCGTAGTTTTAATTTAACAGCATCGTGAACACTGATTTATTTATTGCTGATGCTTAAATTATTAATTTTCAGGCTTCCGTAACTCAGAAGTTTAACCTATAGGTTGGTGAAATGTTATTTTAATCACATAACGGTGATCATGATTCGTTTGGCAAAATACTTGTTTGTCTAGAAATTGTGGACTAAGAGCGCATTTTTGCAACATTGAGAAGGAAACTAAAATTGGTGCTGTAATCCTTGGATTATTCGTTCAAAACGTTGTAGTTAAACTCAGTCTTTTGTGTTTTTTTGGTACCTTGGTAGTAAAAGAGCGCAATATTTTACATTATTTGGCCAGCTCATCCAGGAGCGACAACTAAATTATCTGAAGTGCTTCGCCCATTCATTTTATTTACATTTTCTAGAAGGGCCTATTTTGAGACGCTGCACAATCTGAATATTTTAAACTATGAAGATTTATTTGGCCTTCTCTTTGTTTGCCTGTTTTGCTTTCAGATCCCACAAGTAAGTGAAAGATTAAAAAAATACTACAGACTAGTTTCTTCTTTGGCGATGTGCGTGCAAAACTTGTAGCATAGCTATTGGCTGAATACATACGTCAAGTGCTAATCCCTAATAAAGTTGAGAGTTGAAATTGAGGGTAAGTTAAAATCAGAATTATTGATTGGAAGGTCGCAAAAGAACAAAAATTAAAGCAAAATGACGAACAGGTTTGGGACTGTAACAACGCTGGTTTAATTTAGAGTTTAAAGGAGAATGCTGAGAGCAAAGACACCCGGCAACAAAAGCCCGTCCACCCCGCAACAAGACAATGGGTAAGCGGCAGCGTCAGTGAGCCATGACGTTAAATAACAAGACTAAAGGGAAAAAGGAGTAAAATCTGTGCTTGTATATTATTAACAAGCAATCACATGATTTAGTTGCGTGCAGTTTGGGATTACTAGGCACTAGTATATTTATTAAAGACTGCACTACCCCACGGGATCGTAAAATTTGGTTAGCCTTTGAAGACTTTACTAACGCTGATTTATTCCAAATCCCACTTGAATCATGTGATTCATTATCTATAGAAACGTTCCAGCTTTCCCAGCCAAGGAAATCAAAGTAAAGCGTTCACAGAAAAGTTACACGCGAAAAGAATGAGTCCAAGAGTACTCGGAACGTAAAAATATTCTGTTTTTTTTTCAGAAGTTAATTGCGGCCAAACTTGTCAAGAGAGTGACTCAAGGTAAGAAGACAGTTTTCCCGTATTGTTTTCTCTTGAAGAATTTCAATTCATATGACCAGAGCCAAACCAAAACTTACAACAGGGTCTGCGTTCTGCTATTCATTAATGCACCATACAGAATTCACTGTATTCTTGCCATGTCGACCCGTCTGTGAAAATCGAAACAGTCGATGATATTCAGGGGGATACATTAACCATTTTAAGACAGGAGCAAAACTGCGGAGCCGGCCCTTATTTTTAAAAAAACTAGCACGCTGTATCATTGTCAATGACGCCTCGCAAAAAAGCGGTGTTTTTATCTTTTTTCAGTTTCAGGACCTTGCTTCGAAAAAGGTAACCGTGGACAGTGCAACCCTATTTCTACGTGGTGTAGCGCGGCCAGGTTTCTTCGGAGGCGAGAACTGCATTGCTTGTGAAGATTGCTAGACATTCTTTTGTCAACCAGAGGGATTTATGTTCCAATAGAGATTTCCATTTGACGAGGCCTCCCCCGTCATGTGCATTAATGGCGAGAGCATAGCAGCTGAAAACTGATCATTTAAAGCGAGAAATTTATTAAGGTTTAAGTTAAAATTCAGTGTACATGTAAGTAGTTACAGAATTCTTAGAAATTTGATATTGTTAGTTTCTTCCGAATAAAGATTAGACTTTTTTGCCAGAAAATAATTTGGATAAAATTTGACAGGTTACTGGCTCTACACAGATACTGAATGGCTCACATACTAGAATTTCGACGACTGTTAGTTTCGAAACGTTCTATTTTCGCTATCATTGAGTGTTAACATTTGATCACGTTTTCCAGTAGCCGTAGCTATTATATTACACGTGTACTTATCAGGTTACGAGTTTCTTGCGAAAGTCACATGCTATCGTTGTACAACGAGTTTACATTTTCGCTATTTAAGAGCAAGCTATCTTGCCATTGTCGCTATCATTAGGTTATATGCTATCAAGCTAGGAGCTAAACCAAAGTAAGTCTTTTTTACTTGTTATAATTGTCGCATGATTTCGTTACTCTGTTTACATCGGTTTCTATTAGATAAAGGCTTAGTTGATTTCATTGTCGTTATGCACAATCGATATACGGTACAATGTAAGTTACATAGGTTTATTTTTAATTTCCTTTTAGTTCGAACCACATCACATCAAATTGTATCACGCTATTGTTGTGCTTTAAAGCCATCACTACATATCTTCGCTACCGTCGATTATCGTAAGAATAAATTTGTAAGTTGGTTGGAAAACTTTGTCTGTCGTTTGTGCGTTCGACTCCACTAAAGTCACAACGACATCTTAGGATTTGGATGGCAATAAATAATCGTCTTTTAAACCAAAAATATGGAATCTTTTTGAGTAAGGTTTCCCTTCTTTCTTTGTTCCTTTCCATCTTGTAAGTTTGATCTAAACTGATTTAGGGCCGTTTATCTGGGTTTTAGTACAACTGCTTACCCTCATATTGAGCTGTGACAATGTTAAAGTTTTGAGAGCGTACAAATTTTTTTACGTAAGACGTAACTGAAGGAAAATTGAGTCTGCTGCTCCAGAGTTAGGCATATGCGGCCAAGCTAATGAGACGCCAGAGAAACCACGTCAATCTTTTTTTAATTATAAAGCTTAATGAATCTTACAAATGAACCAGAAAAACTGACAATTTGACAAAACCAGATCGACATTGAATTTTTATCTAATTACAACGAGCAAAAGCGGATTAACCAAATATAACGCAATTCAATTTTCTCCTCTCAAAAGGAAGATAAAAATCATATATTTGGGATATGTAGGTGGCTTTGCTAATGCTATTATATCGTGATAAGTTATTTAAAAACACCGATCATGGTAATTTTCCTTGCTGCCGTTCCACTACATTGGTGACTTGATTTTACTTTATCTTAATCGCGCAATGACGCCTGACGAACAGCCCGGAATGTTCGTGCTTTAAGCATCACTGGTTTTGAAAGAGTTAAAGCAATTACGATGTGTTTATAAAGTGTTGCTAGGAACATAACATAATCAGTGTTTTGTTTAAACAGTAACCTCATGGTATACATCTTTGTAGACATGACATCCTTTTTTTAACAGTTTGGTTTCGGTCGTTCCTTAAGGTTTTTTCAATCCGTGACCGCCGTTTAAGTGGTATTCAATATCAAAGAAGAGGTATTACTATGGATATCAATGCCAAAATAAGTGGCCGATAGATAAAAGATAATGGATGAAGAACAATTAATCCATGTATTTTGTGCTACAGTGATGCATATCGTGCTTGAACGACTCAAATAAACAAACTACAGGAGCAATGTTAGAATATTTGACCCAGGGTAACTGGTTTTTAGTCAAGTGAAGGAAGGAACCAACAAGATGCTCTGATTTCATGTCGTCCCAAGTGGAGCAAATCTGTCCTGCTTCATGTTTCTTCATTTACTCAATTTTTCCTAGTTAACGAGCTTTTTTTTCTTTCATCATTTTCGATGTTTTTCTTAATTTTAATTTTATTTATTTATTTCTTTGCAAAAGAACTCCTTTCCCCTTGCTAACAAGTGAAGTGGCCATGCAAATTAGCCGCGCAAAATGCAAACGCCGGCGAAAACCGCCCCTCGTTTTCGTTTGGCCTTTTAACGCTGCAATTTTTTTCAGGAAAACACCAATAAGTGGCATGGTCTTCGAATCTTAATGTATCAATCTAGCATCATATAATCGTTTTTATTCTTAGTCTTCATAAATTATTTTTATGACAAATTAATAAAGGTGGTAAGTTTCGAAAGAAATTGTGGCGCTGCGTCGGTTTGGGGGTGGTGGTTATATTACAGGATAATTTTGGTTTTATCAACTAGAAACTCTTACAACTCAGTTGATAAAACCAATGAACCAAATTATCTTGTTTCTATGGCAGTCTGGCTCTGGCTCACTGTCCTGCGGTCAAACATCTCTTTTGGTGTTATGTCTAAAGTTAAGAAAAACGTTAACTTCCTGTCGCTGTCTTTTTTCTTCCTTTTTTTTTCTTTCTTTCACTTTTGCGTGCATATCTTTGATTCATGTTTTGTTTGTTTGAGACGAAATGAATAGAGCTATCTCCCGCAGAGAACAATTAACGGCAATAAATTAGATTTTATTGCGGTGGAGGCGAAAATTACACCCACTTGGGAAGAAGTCAAGACGGTCGAGGCGATTAAAATGGAGCCGATTTACCGTGACTTTGCAACATAGCGAAATTCTTTAGTTCTTGGATCGTAATTACACACGAGAAAAATTTCTTACGGACCAATCTTGCCAATCAGGACATTCTGCTGGTAATTTTTTGCGTAATCAAAACGCAGCAAAGAAAATTGTCGAAAATTGACCTAATCTGCCGAGTCAGGATGGCTTATATTGGTCTGGTTTCCTTTCAGATCAACTGGAACGAAACACAAAAATTTGGTCCAAATTCACGGAATCTTGACGTCGCGCTTCGTCAATAACGCTCATTTAATAAATTCTGAAAAGAAAAAGTTAGGTTTGCCGCGACATTCATACCACAACTTACACTAGACATTAAGATGTCAAAGTCAATTACTGTGGAGAATAAGTGGTCTTCGTGGGACTGATTCCTAAAAATCTTGGCTTAGCTTCTCTACTTATATTTTCGTTGACAAATAATAGACATTATATCAGCAAGTTTTCATCCTTGTTGCTGACGTCTTTAAAACAATCGCAGCATTATAAATAATTAATCTATCGCTGAGTCATGATTTCGTTATCACTTAAATTACTCCCAGCCAGTCCCATATGAACATTTTCGTCTTTGCTTTATCCTGAGAAGATATCAGCTGATAACCATCCGTGTGGATTTAAGGTAACCAAGTGAGTTGCGTTTCAGTTTCCTAAACATGTGTATTTCTTCATCTTCTTTTTTCCCTGTATGAAATGAGTCATATTACTATACTAAGCTCCGTAAATTTGTAAAGACTTTCAGTCGGAAATGAATAACGGTCGAAGTTTCGCAGAATACTCATTAAGTCTGAGTTCTCGTGATGTTTGTTTCATTATTTGTTTGTTTCATTGTTTGAGCTTGAATACTGGGCTGATTTCACTGAAGTTGTTGGATATAATTGTTAGCTTACTCAGAGGTTGTCTTGGCCACATAATCCAGTATATAAGTAAAAAGGTTTTTTTTTTTAATCTTGTTATCGCGGTCTGTTATGGGATAACACTAATACGTATGAGATGGCAAAATATACTGCTACAGTTAAATTTGAACTATCTTACTAAAACAGTTGAGCATGACTCAGTTTTAAGAGGATTTCAATGAGGTTCGTTGTTGGGCACGGAAAAGACAAAATTTAACCTGTTAGTCGTAAAAGAGTTCACCGTAAAACTTTTTCTTATCTGTTATGCGTCATATTGAAAGTGTCAAAATCGTAGACTGTTATAAGTCTTTTCTTGTGACCTAAGGAACATTACTCTGTATCAACCTTAAAAGTAGCTCGATCTGGAATTACCCTTGTTACTTGACTCATACGGTGAAAGCTAGCGAGTAAAAGTGTATTAAAACACCCAAAAATAATCATTAACTATTAAAAAATAATTGACTGAAATTATTTCTTAACATTTCTCATAACTGTAACAGAAAGAAATTAACCGTTGGCCGTAAAATGGCCAAACTTTCAACTTTAAGCTGTAAAAGCCAATACTCCATGCATTAAGGCTCTCTTTTAGGCGTTTTCAGAATCCGCGGTAATGATTGTCACGGTTAAACTTCTTTTCTTTACCCCGCAACGAAGCAAAATATTTATCTTTGTATCTTTTTATCTTTGTATCTTTTTATCTTTGTATCTCCCGATACGGTGCTTTTTTCAGACGTCGCAAATTTTTGAAGTTCGTAACCATGAAGAGCTATTTGGGTGTCTTCTTGTTATTCCTAGTTTGCGTGCAGGCTTCACAAGTGAGTCATAATTCATTAACTACATTTTCCTCTTTTTTTTTTTTAATGTAATTGAAGTCATTAAATATCGTGTAATATCTTTTGTGGTGATTTTCATCGTTATGCCATACGATCGATTTGAATTGTCGCTAACAAGTACTTTTTGCCACAGGTTTTCGGAGCCAGAATTAAGAGATCTCCTGTTCCCGTAGGTATGACCTTAATTTGTTTCCTGTTACTTTGCTTTTTTTTAACATTACTTACTTCTGTCTACTCTAGGTAAAATGTCAATGATACTTAAATTATGGTCATGAAGGGTGTAATATGAAAGTATGCGAAGAGTTCTGGGTATAATCCTTCAATTGTTGCCAAAAATGTAGTGTAGGTCACTCCTTTTATCAAGGGAAAAGCTTGGAAACAAAATTCTCTTCCTTCCTTAATTTTCAGCTGGAGAAGAATGCATGAAACCAGACTTCGAGGATGAGTGTAATTTGGATGATCCCTGTGGCGAAATAATATCACCATGTGGAGGGAAGAAATGCTATCCGTGCAGCGGATGTGACAGTTATACGTGTGAATAGAGTTCCAAGGCAAAGATGTCCATAGAATTCCGCGTGTTATTTAAGAAAATTGAATTAAATCAGAGCTGTGTTGAAGCCGGACTTGATTTATGAATGAAGTATTGTATTTTAACCCTTATTTTCAGGGTGAAGAAAGTTGGGTGACATGGAGGTCAATAAAGGTCCAATTGTTCTTCAGAGCAAACTCAGTCAATTAAATTAGAGTTGTCCTGTGGCGTGATTGCTGTTGTAATTTTTTATTTACCCACTCCCTTTACGCCCCTCGAAAGCAATGGATTCAAGGACAAGGATTTTTGTGAGTTGATCTTTTCGACATAATTTAAGCCGTTCTATATGTTTGCAGCACTCAGTTAGTCAAGACAATGATTATGATCAGAGGCAGAGGATTCTCTCTTACAATGCACAAGCCATAGGCACTGCCAACTATTTGATATTTCCAATACGTTTTTGGTCAAAATAAACTCCGTAGCCAAAAGTGCAACAAAAGTTCTCTGCAAACTGCTGCCCTAAGTGTATCTGTATCGCCTTCAAAACAAGTTACCGCGTAACATCGCGAGGATACTTCGCTAAAACAACTTACCCCGTTTGGCACGGAGAGATAAAGCAGCTCGAATTTGG